GCCTGTTAAGAGAAAAAGAACAGCATTTGCAGGTAAGCAATGCATACTGGGGATTGCACACATGATTAGACTGTATTTATTTTAAATAAATGAATATGTAAAGACTTGTTTTGTGTGTGTGCGTGTGAGGGAGGGAGAGAGAGAGAGAGAGTCACTCAGTCAGTCAAGTTAGGCATTTTCAAATTTGTAACAACCCAAGATCAAAGCAGACAGTGTTTTTTTTTAACTTTAATTTCAAACGTTTTGTTAAACTTTTCATTTGAGAAAATATACCTGACACTTGAGAAAATGGACAATGTTTGTCAGTCTCTCATTTGCATCCTAGCATGGGACACTTTTCCTACAATTTGCAGTCCCTTTCATATCAGCTTCTGGGGGAGGCAGGGATGGCCTGATATTGCTGCTGTTCTTCAAGCATTAATGTGGCCATTACACTTCCATTCCAGATCCCTTTCTGTGTTCAGGGTTACTGTCTCCATTATGGATTCTGAGGTTCTTCGTAACTTCTGCATACAGAGCACCAGATTGCATCACATGGTTTTGAAAAGGGGGCCACAAGGCCCCAGCCTAGAAGTATGATATTCACAGTGCTTCTGCAGTTCATTCTCATATATTTGTTCCAAGGCTGTGAGCAACTGGTTGCAGTTAAATTATCAGGCTGTGGTACTGTTGCTGGATATATTGGCTCTTCAGTTGAGCCAATGTTCCTCTACATCAGTGATCCCCAACCTTTTTTACGCCGCGGCCCGGTACCGGCATCAGCTGGGCGCCGCCATCTTTTTTTGATGAAAAAGTGCTTCCGGTGAGCTTTCTACCCGGAAAAGCTCACCGGAAGGACTTTTTTATCAAAAAAAGATGGCGGCGCCCAGCAACCAGCGGCCCGGTAAGACTTGTTCCGCGGACCGGTACCGGTCTGCGGCCCGCCGGTTGGGGACCCCTGCTCTACATTGTGCTGTTAGATTTTGCACGGCTGCTGCTGTCGTTTTCAGATCTACTGAGGCCAAGGGCTTTTATATCTGTGCTCCAGTGACGATATTCTGGATTCTATATTGCCTACAAATTGGAGCTGCAGAAAACCTGCTTTGTGAACTCTTTGTTCTTACTAGCTTTTCTTGAGAAGATTCCTCTAGGCTGGAATAAAGACTGGAAGCTGATATAAAGTCAGGTAGCATGAATTATTCTGCGGTTGACTCATAGCCACAACTTGTACTAGAAAGTGGAGCTCATTCTAGGCACTGGCCTTCCCCTTCATGATATCCAGATCATCACTTCAACAAAGCATTAGATAATACTTCATTTGCCTTTTATCTTTTTATGATTCTTGGTTGAGGGATGAGAACTGCTGTTGAAGAGGCAAATACTCTGACATAGATCTAGTTCAGTATGCCCAACTGAGAACAAGTTAGTTAAAATGGAAAGGCAATAAAGGCCTAATGATTTATGACTGTGTTTTCTTTTAATTTAGTTTCTTTCCAAGAAACCATTCGGGGGGGGGGGGGGTATACTTTATACAGGTAGTCCTCAACAGTTGAGCCCAAAATTTATGCTGTTAAGTGAGAATTTGTTAAGTGAGTTTTGCCCCATTTTACATTTCTTAAGTGAAGAATTGTTAAGTGAAGCACTGCCGTTGATAAGTTAATAACCTGGTTGTTAAGTGAATCTGACTTCCCTATTGATTTTGCTTGTGGGAAGGTTGCACAATGTGATCACATGACCCTGGGATGCTGCAACGGTCATAAGTATGAACCACTTTCCAAGCATCTGAATTTTGATCACATGATCATGGGGATGCTGCAAAGGTTGTAACTGGGAAAACGATCATAAGTCACTTTTTTCAGTGCTTTGGTAACTTTGAACAGTCACTAAATAAACTGTTGTAAGTCCAGGACTACCTGTATTTATTAGACTTGACAGGCTTAAGGAATTTATATAAATAAGTATTTATATGAATAGTTATTTTGTGTGCAGTGACGATGAAGATAAGACAAAGGTGATGATGATGAAGCTAAAAATTCCACATAAAAAGTATTGTATTCCTTAAATTACTTCACAGTGTTTGATTTTGTAGTGAGAGTGGAAGTTGACTTAGCGGATTGAGTTTAAAGGATTCAAGAGATGAATATTTCCTGTGCTGAATATTTTTCTTTCTGCTTTTAAAACCTATTTAGGATGGGCGGCTTCCATTATCACAATCTTGAACACATCTTGTCACTTTTGACTTCTAAATGGAATTCTGTAGTCCATACACATTTTCCTGCCTTCATCCCACTATTGTGAGTACCAGTGAACCCAGTTAGGAATAGCCATTTGTCTTGGCTCTTCCCAGAAAATGCATTTCCTTTTTCTCTGTTTCATGCCTTCTCATATTGTTTATTGAGTAATAAGGCGCTGTTCTGAACACTGAACAGCACATACTTCTTGTATATCAATGTTCACACCATTCAGAGGGGACAGTGGGCAATTTGTTTTCTCTATACCAGTGATGGCTAACCTTTTTGGCACCGTGCCCAAAGTGTGTGTGCGTGTGCGCATCCCCAAAATGCTGTTTCAGATCGCATTGGTTAAAGAAATGTTTGGAATAAATTTGAAAAGAATCTGCATTCCAGTTTAAAAGTGTTTTGTTAGGCTAAATTAAAATTTTCCTGCCTTTGGCTCAATTAACAGTTTATTTCAGAGTTAAGATATACATATTTCTGGAGGGAGCATCACTAGATGGAGCTGCAGCTTAAAATAACAGTCTGAAGAAAAGATAAATAAAAATAGTTCTAAAGCAGTGTTTACATATCATATTATAAATATATGTGGAAATAAGGAAATATTCAGTCAGACATGGCTTCTATTTGGAATACACAACTCTTAAAGGTAAATTGCTTTTGCTTTATTTATTTGTAAAATTTATTGACCACCTATTTCAGGCGTTGCCAACCTTTTGGACCTCAGGGACCACCAAACTCATAATTTTAAATCCCAGGGACCACTAATTGGTTCTGTGGGCGTGGTCTAATTTGTGGGTGTGGCTTAGTGGTCATGTGACTGGCTGGGTATGGCTTGTATGTAAATATAAATATTTTTTGTTTGTGAGTGCAGGTTTCCAAATAATTGCATACTGTATTTATATATATATACTGTATTTTACACTGTATATATACATTAAGACAACTTACAGCCCTTTATTTTCATACTTCAAAGTAGTCTAAAATAACACTCAAATGAGTACACCCCTCCTTTAAGATTGCAATTGTATAGCAATAGCACTTAGACTTATATACCTCTTCACAGTGCTTTACAGCCCTCTCTAAGCTGTTTACAGAATCAGATATTGCCCCCAACAATCTGGGTCCTCACTTATGTACTCACTTATTTGAGGCTAATCCTTTTCAATTCAATAGTAAGTGGAGATGCACAGGATTGTGTTAATATAAATTTCCAATGCTCCATCACATTTATTTTCTTTTAATTATCTGATATCTGAAAGCCTAAAATGCTTTTAATTCAGTGTTCAGTGTTGTAATTAAACTGCTGACCTAGAGACCAGGAGACTACAAGTTGTAGTCTGGTCTTGTATCATGAAACCTGAGTGTCTCAGGCCAGTCAGTCTCTCTCAGCTCAACTCACAGGTTTTTTTGTAAGGGAAAATACGAGGGACTATTGTGTTCACTCTCGAGTTACTTGTAAAGTAATACAGACAGTCCCCAATTGCTTAGTTGACCTACTGGGGTATTACAATCTGGATTCAAAGTTCCAATAGTTGGACCTTCAGTCACATAACTGAACTTTAGATGCTTTGTAGTCAGGCTGTACATTTGCACTGTCCTGCAGCCATGTGATGGTGTTTTACAATTTTACTGAAAACCAGTATTTACTTATTTTTCAGCAAAACTTCCACCCATAGCAAACCACTGATTTGCTTAAGAACCATGGCATTCTCTTAAATGATCACCACAAAAGAGTTGTAAAATCAGGATGACCCATTTTATGACTATCATGATTTATGTCAGTGATGGGCAGACTCCATTACAGTCCTAAATTGAGGACTACCTGTAAAGATGGGATAAAAATTTATTTAATGAAATTTATGTAGGATTGTGACAATCTCCATCTAGGATTTAAACCATCGGTTTAAAAGTGTTTCTTAGGTATTTTTCTCAGGGTCCTACCCATTTTTAAAGATTATGGATGATGCTGAAACAGATTTTGTTTTATAGATTGTATTTACTATTTACTATAAAGTTAGAGCATTTGCTGCCACTACTGCTTTTCACTATCATATGATGAGATTTGAATATTGTATTAATTTCCAAAACAGTCTTTCAAATAATCTTGATTTTGAGGACTACTGAAAGAGGGGTGTGTGTGTGTCCCCTAAGACCACACTTTAAAAAGCACTGGCCTAAACCTAACCTTAGACTGTCTACTATTGACCTCACCCTTTTCCTAAAAGGTCTGTAGGGGGCGTGCATAAGCACACCAATGTGCCTACCGTCCCTGTCCTATTGTTTATTTTTTTATTTTTTTATATGTATCCATATATCCATAACTATGTTTTTACTTATGCCTCTTATCTTGTAAGCAATTGACAAAAATAAATAAATAAATAAAAATAAAATAAAATAAACAGTTCTGAATTAATTCCTGGAACAAAGAAGGCGGGACCGGAAATGCAAATAACTTTTGAAATTGACGTTTTTGTGACTCAAAAGCACAGAGAGACAAGACAAGTCAATTTTCTGCACGTGGAGTAGATTTTCCGAAGGGCGCAAGGAGAAGAACCGCATGCGCTTCGGAATCCCCGGCCCCCTCCCTCCGAATTCCCGATTCCAAACCACAGCAGTTCGAAGAGCGCCTGCGCACCCCGGCCTACCCATTCCAACCGCGTGCGCCACTCCGATCACATGGCGAGGGCCCCGGCGTAAAATCGGGGCCGCTGAGTAGCCCAAGGTGATCTCTTTCCTCCTCTCGCGAGATTTGCTACTTCATATAGCTGGGAGGAGGGGCAAAAGGCGGTTTCTTTCCCAGAGGTCGTCGCTGTGTTTGCGTCGTTGGCGCCATCGTGCTCGATTCTTCTTTTTTTTTTTATACCCCTTCCTTTTTCCCGAATCTTCGGCGGCCGAGGCCGGTGCATCAAAGGGCGCAAGCAGCATGGAGGACAGCGATATGGATAACATGGGCTCCCTCCGCCCGCAGACCTTCCTTTTCGGTAATAATAGATCGGCTCTTATCCGCTGCAGGGGAGGTCGGGGCTGCTCCTCCTCTGGGCCTTCGCACGTGGCCGGGGTTTGGTGGGAGAAAACGGCGTGCGGGACCCTGAGAAACGCTGCACGTTCAGAGCTTGGATCCTCCCCCTAAAGGACTTGCAGCCGCTTTCCTCGCCACGTGGTCGGCTTGGGCCTCTTTCCCCCCCCCTGGGGCTTTTACCATCACAGCCCCTTTCCCGTTTTCCTTTCCAAGCCATGCATCGCCAAGCCGCTGGTGTGCTGGCTGAATTCATAACGGCGCTAGTCGAGTTCAGTTTATAGCCCAACTTGGGCGAATCCGGATAAGAACAGTTGATAACAATAAAACCAGACGGCGTAAGGAGGGAATATAGGAGAAGTTTGCTCTGATACGGTCGTTTGAAATAGGTTAGCGCTGAAACAAAAGCCGATCCTACTGGGGGGGGGGGGGAATCGGCCAAGCAGCGAATGGCGAGAAACGGTCTCGCCCATGCCGGCCTGGGAAATAGGCAGGGGAGAGAAAGACTGGTGGCCACGTGCTCCCGCAGGTAGGAAGGCGTTGATGCATCTTGCAAACCGCAGATGGCAACGTCGTTTTTATGGCCTACAGGCAGAATAAGAAACCGCGTTCGCCCGCTGCTGCTACCTGCAAATTATAATTGGCTTGGTTGTAAATAAATCTGGCATTGTGGAAGATTAATTCCCCCGTTTCTGGCAGCTGTGTTCATGGCAGTAGGCGGTGGGAAACACTTCTGTGGTATATTTTTTGTTTATAGATGTAATTGCATGAATTTTGTATTTTGGTCTGAAATGGAATTACATTTCCTTTTTCTAAATACATGGTCATGTTTCTGCAGGCTGTGAACTGAAGGGCGATAAGCCATATCACTTTAAGGTGAACGATGAAGAAAACGAACATCAGCTTTCTCTAAGAACGGTAGGTTCCCCCTCAGCCCCTTTTTCTTGGAAATTTCTCCATTGTGAGTCAGAACCCTTCTTTGACACTTAATAGACCATAACTGCTATTTGGGCATGCTTTGCAGTTATTTAAAATGATCTTAATCACCATGCAAAGTATCTTCAGATGTGCATAATCAGCAATTAGTTGCTGAATATGCAAAGTAGTTATGGCAGCATGTGCCCGGTTAGTACATTTCATTATTTCTGGATAAGTAATACTACATTTTCTTTTATTAGTGATTGCTGTAGGAGGTACTTGAGACTTAAAGGAACACCTCAAACATTGTGTTTTTTTTAATGTAGGTTAGCTTAGGAGTTGGTGCTAAAGATGAATTGCATGTTGTTGAAGCAGAAGCATTGGACTATGAAGGCAACCAGATAAAAGTCACACTGGCATCCTTGAAGATGTCGGTTCAGCCTACGGTAAGAATATTACTTGTTTAGTAAAATGAGTAGCAAGAATTACAAACATTGTAAATTGCCTTTTTTTTTTTTTTGTACTGGTTCAATTCTTACCACAGAATTATAAATTGCTTTAAGTACATTGCTTTCTCTGCTTGAGGCCATTATGGGAACTTTAGGTAACAAAAATAGAGTATGTACTTGTTTTTCAATAGTTATAAAAATTATATAATAAAAATGCATTTTGATATGTTATTTCAATCAAATATTTGTTCAAAGACTGAGTAGAATATAGATACCAGTTAATTAAAGTATCCAATTTTTTGGTTTAGCAATTTTGGATCCTATAAGAACATTCCTAATCTTACTCTTTAACTCCCACAATCTGATTTAGTTTGTTGCTACAATCATTTTCCTGCTGAGGTCATAGGTCCACAGCTTCAGTAGGGGAAGTTGGATAGAGTTACCTTTTCTGAATTATGTCAACTAACTTGTTCTCCCCTTAGCATTCTTAGCTGGGTTCACTATATAAAACTACACTTGCCAGTTCCCCTAGTTTGTTTGATTGTGTGTCTGCTATTCCATAAACAAGAAGACAAAAATGATTTGGGAATGGAAGGAAACTTCTCGTATTAGTACAAAGTAACTGTCTTGAAATGCACCCCAAGAGTTATGCAAGTCATTATAGACCTGCATCTATTTAACTTTTTCCAGATTCAAAGTCTGCCCAAAAGAAAGTGGAAAGTACCTATTGTAACAGGAATCCTATATTCATTATCCTCCTAGCTCAGGGGTGTCAAAATTTGTCACATCACATGATCTATCACAACTTTCCCCTTTTGCTAAACTCGCTGGTGCGGGACACATCCTGCCCATGGGCTGCGACTTTGACACTCCTGTTCTAGTTTCTCAAGGATTTTATTTCTAAAAATGATATGCTTTTGAGGTTCCTATAAATTGTTCTTAGAAACCCTTTACTTATTGCATTGGTATGTTACTATTGACAGGGCTTGACCTAATTAGTAACTGCTGAGAATTGATATTCAATAAACTTTTAAAAACTTAAATGGCCTTTTAATAGGAGAAGAGTCTCAATAGACAATCACATTCAACACATATTAAGAATAATTTTGCACCTGCTTTGACCCAACAGTTCACATTGGATTGCAATTGCTTATTGTTATGACTTTTGGTAACAAGATAGAAATTTATTAAAGGAGAATGTGAACACAACCCTTAGTGGGATTCCTTCCCCTAATTTTTACCATGCTTACTATTTTCATTCAGGTCATAGTATCTCCCTAAGAAGTTAAAAAGGTCTCTTCCGATTCTTCACTAAGGCTTAATGACTCTCAAGAGTTGTTGGTTGTGAGGCAGGAATCCTCCATACAGAACACGAATTGTCACATTTGTTTATTTCTTCAGCTGGACCTCTCATTTCTCTATAATCTTTTTTCTCCTGATCCTCCTTGGTATGCATATGTGATATGCTTGCTGTTGGACAGTATCTTATTTTAAGTATTGTATCCCTTTGTCTTAATGAGCTGATTCTAACCTTTTTTTAAAGAAAAAAATTACATTTCGTCAGGATGGCTTAGCCATAATTCATAGACTGCAACTTGAACCGCCTTGAAGAAATTGAACAAAAATTGAAAACCAGGACCAACTTGGTTAGAAAAATTGCAGGAACAGACTGGGGAGTACAAACAAAACATTGCATATAGTGGCATAATCATTATAATGCTCTGTTGTTGAATGCTATGTACCTATAAAGGGGAAAAGTTGTCATACAAATAAGATTGCTGTTCACGTTAATGGTTCAGTGAGAATATCTCAGACCCTGAAATCCACACCACATTCATGGCTCCATGTTCTTTCTAACATTGCCCCTCCTGATTTCAGGCAACAATAGACAGTTGAGAGTGGGATACCTGTATTTTATACCTTTCATTGGACTGAAGTCTAGGAAACCAATTTGGGGTACCATACCACAGTTTTACAATCTAGATAAAGAATGGCGATTAAAAGGGGCAACTTTTTAAGAGCCATAATCTAACAGACAACACAGATCCAACACAACCACACCCAGGAATGCAGTTGCTCTAAAATATGGAGTCACCTGAATAGAATCAGGACAGGAGAGGCCAGAACTAAGGCAAAATTCTTTAAATGGGGAATGGCTGAGAGCCTGCATTGCAATAATATAGTTAAGGAATTCTCAGGAAATTTCAAGGCACCTAGGATCTCAGTCACACTAAAAGCAGTTACGTGGTTCCCATTGTGACTATATGATGATATATTATGTTGATTTTATTATGGTTTTATCTTAATTTAATATTAATATTTTATCTCATATATTGTCCACATACTATATATATTTTATCATATATTGTCCACATACTATATATATTTTATCTCATATATTGTCCACACACACACTGATTTACTTATATTTGTATATCACTGATTATGTAACGTCTGTAGAAGCCATACACTAAATAAATAAATAGACTGGAACTCCTGCACCAAAGTAATAAAAAAATAATTTAAGTTCTTTTCACTTTATATTGGAAATGCCATACACAATCAAGTCTCAATTGCTAAAGATATTGGATTGCAATATTTTGCGTAATGGGTAGCTTGATTGTTAGGCAAGGAGCAGGAAGACGCAGGTTTTAATTCATCCTTGGTGATGGAAGGTCCTGTAAGGAAAGAAATTCAGATGCTATTTTTAAGCAGACGTAATTATCTATGGAAGCTACAACTTAAAATTATGCTCAGCAGAGCCCATGAACAAAGATTCCTGTCCCTCCCTATGTCAATAAATATTGATGAGCATCTCTTTTTTATCTAATGAATAAGTACATAGCAGAGTTGCATATCTGGCAAGGTCTGCCAGCAGTGCTCAACAAGCGAGAAAGCAGTGTAATACTGATATTAAAAATTGAGTCGGAATCCTCAAGATTTAAGCACTATGCATATCAAGCTCAAAGCAATATGTGCTTTACAATTCACAAAATACGATTGGGAAGACTTCTGTAAACGTGCAGAAAACTGGGGAGAAATGTATGCTTGCATTTAAGGTACTAAATGTCTTGCAAAATTGGGCCTTTCATATCCTGAATTGGAAGTGACTGATAACTGATTCTCTATATCCCCTTCAGTTCTAGTTGTTATTGAAAGGCAAACAATTGCAGGCATTATTCATAAGTTTTGATTAAGTTGTGGCATTTGACTATTTGTTTAAATGCTTGCTGTTCTGCATTTTCCTGTTCTGCCAATACTGTGAAGGGGAGGATTGGAAAAAACTGCCTGGGGAAAAAGAAAACCTCCCTTTTTGCAAAAGCAAGCTTGCCATAAAAGGCAAGCTTGCTTTGCTCTTAAGTTTGTGATAAAACGTTTATTTTTGTTATGTACTTGGTTTGAATAGTGCAATACAACTATTTTTTTTTTAGTATATTTTTGTGTTTAAAATGAAAATGTTAGCAAATACATGCATCCTAAAAGAACAAAAGCTTGGGGACCAAGGATCATATTCTAAAGTAAGGATGCTGATACCGAGAATATCATTCTCTGGATTTCAGCCTTCTGATAATTAGATGGGAGAGTCCCCAAAGCATCCCCTTCCCTGCTTGGCCATATAGGGTGGGAAGATACAACTGTATCAAAGGAACAAATCTGTGGAGTAAGTAATCCCCAGCACCTTGAGTTTTACCCAGAAACCTACTGATAGCCTGTGAAACACATGTGTTATTCTCTGAACTCTGGCTAGGGTGCCAAGTAGGTTGCTGTGTTTTGGGTCTTTGCACCCTCAGGGGCATTTTTCATTTCTTCCCCTTTCTTTTTTTGTCTTTCCCGAGTTAGCTATCTTAACTTTGAGCAAAGGATCCTTTTTTGGATTGCAATCTTGAGCTTTGTTTGGAAATAATAGCAACCTCCTTCAGCCTGGTTTGGTTTGAGTTCTAGTTAATGATGTCTCTGTCACATTTTTTTTTTTCATTTCTGCAGAACTTTCTATTTTTCTTTTAAGGTTTCATTAGGTGGCTTTGAAATTACACCTCCAGTAATTCTGAGATTGAAAAGTGGTTCAGGGCCTGTCTATGTCAGTGGACAACACCTTGTAGGTATGAATATTTCTAATCTGTGTTTTGGGTTATTATTTCTATTCAGTCTGCTAAAATAAATTTAGTTAAACTTTTGTTTATATCTGGTTTACTCTTGTCTTCTGTAACAGCTTTAGAGGAAGAACCAGAATCTGAATCTGAAGATGAAGATAAAGTACAACAAAATATGGTAAAAAGACCTGCAGGTGTGACATTAGCTAAAGTTCCCCTGGTAAGCATCTAATGGAATGCATTATTTTGACCTGCAGGGTTTTAGGAATACAGGTGGTCCTTGACTTACGACTACAATTGAACACAAAATTTCTGTTAAGTGAGACATTTGTTAAGTAGATTTTACCCCATTGCGACCTTTCTTGCCACAGTTGTTAAGTTAATCACTGCATGTGGTTGTTAAATGAATTTGGCTTCCTGATCGACTTTGCTTGTCAGAGGGTTGTAAAAGATCACATGATCTCGGGACACTGCAACTGAGTCAGTTGCCAAGTGTCTGAATTTAAATCACATGACCATGGAGATGCTGCAATGGTTTTAAGCATGAAAAATGACCATAAGTCACTTTTTTCAGTGCTGTTGTAACTTTGTGAGATCACTGAATGAACTGTTCAAGGGCTACCTGTATGCCTGTGCTGTAAATTTATCCACAAATTTAGTTCACCGATGAAAATACTTTTTGCGAATCAATCTTATGAATAAAACTGAATTTTCTGAATACATGGTTCAACTGCTTCTAGTGTGAAAGATGAAAGAAACGAATTAACCATTTTTGTAATTTGATTGGACATCCTGGATAATTTTTAATTATTTTTATTCATAAAATTAGTATCGAAGATGGTATGTGTCTTCTCCTAAATTACATTTGTTCTTTCAAGAAAAAAGCAAAGATGGCAGACAAGGATTTTGAAGATGATGACGACGACGATGATGACGATGATGAAGACGAGTATGTTATATTTCAGTAATCTGTTGGGTTTAAATAAATAGCCTGGGCAGGAAATACAACTGAAAGACATTTCTCTTAAGAGTTCTTAAATATTTTGGGTATCTATTTTAGAGACTATCTTTTTAAAATAGCGCCTCTATTGCATGCCTGAATTTTATCTTTGATTAGATGATGGGTAGAAGTATGATTTTTTTTCCAAAGAGTCTACATTTTAATGCACTTAAGGAAGTGGTCACACAATTAGGCCTTTTGTGAAATTTCCATTAGTCTAAAATACCACATTCTTTAGTTCCTATTTATTTGTTTTTCTTCAGCTTGTTCCAGTAGGACCATCTGTTGGGAGAGGGTCAAAAAAGTCAAAGATGATGGGCAAAGCCATGAGATCAAAGTGGCTACTCTTAATGTGTGTTACATACATACAAAAAAAAGGGGGGGGGGGATAGCTGTATCCCCCACTTGGGAATGGGACAACTTGCCCCGGCCAACTCGCTATGGGAAAATTCACCGCGGGACAATTTTAACAATTCTATTAAATTATTTAAAATAAAAATTATTTTAATTTTTGCCATTCACATTTCATTCTGTCCCTCCTTTTGCATCATTTAATGATTCTATTCCACCAATTCTTTCATATCAGTGTAACTTTGTCCCACAGCAAGTTGTCCTTCAGTGAGATGGCTGTAGCGAGTTAGCCATGGCGAATTGTCATAGACACCCCCCCCTGCCCCCTGCTTGCTCCAAAGTAAAATTGGATATGGGATATCAGATTTATTCGACTTAAAAGGCTTTAGGAATTTACATAAACTGAATTTTGATTGTAGTGATGATGAAGATGAGGATGAAGAGGAGGAAGATAAGACTCCACAGAAAAAAGTAAGTTATTTCTAAAAGTGCTTCGTTCTGAGATGAAAGTAAACTTAAGGCAGGGGTGTCAAACTCAAGGCCCATGGGCCGAATCTGGCCCGTGTGTGCGTGCTTAAATCTGGCCCACAAGTCCAGCCTGGAAATAGCAAAGAACTGGCCTGCGATGCCTTTGGCAGGCAAAACCTGGTGCGGGGGCCCATGTGTGGCCTTCTGCACCCTGTTTCGCCCTGGACGGCCGCCTGCACCACTCTGTGGGCCAAAACAGGGCGTGGGCAGGCTCCCTGCACCTTGTTTTTGGCCTGAAAGGCCTCCAGCTGTGCTGGCCAAAATGGGACACGGGGAGGCACATCTTCCCGCATCCTGTTTTTGACCTGGACAGCCTCTTGCAGCACTCTGCTGGTCAAGACAGCCCCCCCCCCCCCCCCCCTTGGCCAGCAGGGTGCTCCCGGCGCCATCCCCTCCTCCCCCCCCCCCCCCCCCCCCGCCCGCCCGCCCGTGGAGAAATACAGT